ACTGAGGAAAATCTAACAGAAAATGTTTTTTACATATTTTAGTACCCCAGGACTTTATACTATTTATATTAAATATTCTATGAGTTTCTAGATCCATTCACACTAAATAGTGTTGGGCTTTATGCTCAAGTCGGACATAAGTTCGGCTCAAACATGGGCCGTTCGTGTGTTTGGCAAACACACGAACAGTAAGGGCATTCAGCGGGTTGTTCACCCACCATGCCCCACAATGCACTGCGCCTTGACAGTGATTGTGATTGGCCAAATTAATGTACCTGACCACAGGTCAGGTGCAATGCTTTAGCCAATCACAGTGCATGATGAATTCATAAGGGGCAGGGTTGGCACTGCCCCCTTGTGACATTATCACACTATTTAAGCACTGTCATCCTGGTGCAGCTGTCAGACAGCTGGGAGCCAGTGTCGAGAGTGGAGCGGTTTTTTATTTTTCTATTTTTGGGTCGGCAATGGCGGTGGGCATCATGATTGATGTTGGATTTACTTTGGGAGACATTTTTAAAATTTTTGGTTTTAATAAAGGACTTGTTAAAGATTGTCTCTTGTTTTTTTTACATTACAATTTTTTTTGGTGTGAATGGGTAGTGGTACCATGTACCCCATACTCATTCACATGAGGGGGCTAGGATTTAGGGGCCCCCTTATTAAAGGGGACTTCCAGATTCCAATAAGCCTCATGCCACAGACCCCCACAACCACCGGCCACGGTTGTGGGGAAGAGACCCTTGCCCCCATCAACATGGGGACAAGGTGCTTTGGGGGAGAGCTCCCCTGCCCCAAAGCACCCCCCATGTTGAGGGCATGTGGCCTGCTATGGTTCAGGAGAGGGGGGAACTTGCTTGTCCTTCCCCTTTCCTGACCTGATGGGCTGCATGCTCAGATAAGAGTCTGGTTTGGATTTGGGGGGGGGGGGGGGGGCATACCATTTTTTTTTTAACTTTTGAATGTTCAAACTGAACAGGGGGGTGTTCAGCCCCATTACTATTACTATTACTAAAATCATCTAACAAAAAGTCCTATGAAGGGAGCCAAAGTACTGCAGTCAAGGCGACATTTGCTGGAGATTAGCCTGTATAAAAGGACAGTAGTCAAACTTTCACCTATGAGTCAGAATGATCAATACAATGCAAATTAGATTTGGATAATAAAGAGGAGAAAGAATTTAAAAAAATTAGGAAAAATTAAAAAAGCCTTCCCAGCTTGTCGATAAAGAGGTATAGAGTAATCACTATAGACTATAACAATAGTTGTTGATTAACCACCCACTGTTGAACTGCTAAGGGTAAAAATCACATGAAGTTGTGTTTCCCATCTAGTGTTGCTTCCTAGAAGCTGAAATTACATTAATCTCTTATGGGGAGACTGACTCTTCTCCTGGGTATACAAAAAAAGAAAAAAGCCATATCACCTTGATTAGAAGGTCCTCACTGAAATCCAACATTATAAGGAAAATAAACAGACTTAGATCCACTCACAGCAATGAGCCATGTGCGATGATTAATGTCCCCATCCCAGACTCCAGCAAGATGGCCGTCGGTACCTGGCTTTTTATAGCTCATCTGTCCCATTGGTGAGTGATGTCACAGTGGGACACAGACATGTGATTGGGTCCCGAGCAGGTGCACTGTACCCGACCCTCCCAACTTGTCCCAATAAGACTCAGCTTCCTGCTGTGCATCAGCCAGCAAAAAGTCACTATGCTGCAGTATATGGATGGCGCAATGCCATCCCACACACAGTACCGTGGATTGAAAACATGAGGGTGAAACTTAGATGGACGAATAGGTTAGAGAAAACCCATCACATCAGCAGAGATGTTAACACTGTCCATTCCAAAGAAATCTCTTAAACCATCCTTTACTTCTAAGTGGACGTTGAAGGGAGTGTTGATGGATGTGGATGCCATCATACTACATGGGTAAAATGGGGAGAAAAAGGGAAGATTCCCCCCCCCCGCCCAAAAAAAAACCCACACCCTGGATGTCCATGATTTCATCCAGTCCCAAAGAAACACATCCCACATTGAGTTGGAGGTTTCTGAGGACCCTAAAAATAAACCAAGAATGGTTAGGGGCAGGGCTTAAGTTTGCCATCCTTGCACTTGTACATCATCTGCATATATAAAACATTTATTTATACAGACAAGATTTTATAAACAAAATATCAAAAAGAAACAAAAAGAAAAAATCACATCAAAATTAATAACATTATGCAACAAATGTCACAAATCAATAATTTCTTGGTCTATCTCAGATAAGAACCTTTGCAACAGGGGCTGACAATGAGGGAATATGGTGTAGCAGTATCCTCTACAAAACTACTTGTAGCTGATACAATTGCTAAGGCATAGGTACCATATGGATTGCAGTAAATAAATCCATTTGTTTTGTTGTAAAAGACATCTATTAACGTCACTCCCATGTCCATGTGGGGGAACATGTTCCAATGCAAAGACACCTAGAACATTGTGATAAAATCCATGACATAAACCAGCATGTCAAATGATGGGGGTTTCAAGCTTTTTTTTGGATACCAGGGAAACATGGTCCCTGATACATTTATAAAAGTGGTGTTTGGTTTACACCACATACAGTAAAATGCTCCACATCTACATCTCATGATATATACCACACCAACAGTCTGACATGTGGTTCTATAATTGGGTTTGTATTTGGTTGTTAGGGAGAATAATTTCACTGCCCTTCAAAACAAAAATTGCATTTCCCACATGGGAATGACCCAACTGCTGAACCCTTTGGAGCACTTCAATATGAATAATGGCTCTGAACTAAATGACCCTTTAAGGATCATCTGCTCCTTTGGTGAATACAGACAAGAAAGCTGAATTAGTACTTGGACATACAAATACAATACAAATTGCACCCACAACATGTGAGCCCATCATTACAATGTACAGAAAGCAAACAACACAAGGAATATACCTACATTAATAGCGATTTTTAAAACAATGAGAACATTGAAAAGTGAAAAATGCCTTTCATTTTTTGCCATGGTTGCTTATGTACTCAATAACATTTTAGCCTTTTTCATGCCATAGTGCAAGACATCGTAATTAACTGCTTGCTGGAATGCAGGCAGAAGTGTCAGTTATATTCAGCAATTTCAGCAGCTCGCTATTTAAATCAATATTCTTGTTTACAACTAGGCTGCATTTTTTTTCTATAAATTATTTCAGAGTTGAATGAGTCGGTTGTACAGTTTTTGGAACAATGTCAAGGTAGAGCCACTCTTGTATTTAAAGTTGTGAGAGTGGGCTGTGTCTGTGCTGTATTGGAATCAATTTCAGTAACAGATGGAAGGAATGGATCAGTGGGATTTAAGTTCCTATTAGGTCAAGTTTGGAGCCTCTCTGATGGAAGAGATGTAAACCACTCCTGGCAGAAGGCAGACGTTCTGGCTAATGAAAAATCAAAGCAGAACATTCAAAGCAGCTGATTTTGTTTTGTTTCTGTGTTTTGGTAATGGATGAGGAAAGGGCTTGAAGTTACAGGAATGGACACAGAGTGAGATGCCAATTATTACAGTATATGTACAGTGCAATTCAATACATTTAAATAACTGAGCTCTGTAACATTTGTATCACTGAATTTTCACATTTCATGTCTTGAAAAGTGTACTAAATATGAATTAAAGCTGTATCAGTGACAGCTTTATTAAATAGGAATGATCAATTATGGATCAAGTTAGTATTAAATGAATTGCTTTAATTTATGATTTAAATTCTAAAACGTTTTAAAGTTGATGGTCACAGTTTTGTAAATGTAGTGCTTATCCCTAAAGGTGCTGATTGATGTGTTGGATCCTTTTTTCTTGTGCCTATGACTCAGCAAACATCTCTGTACCCTCCAACACACCTGACTGGGCTAAGGATATAGACAAAGACACTTGTGTGTATGAATACCCCCAAACACAGCAATGCATATACGCCTGAAAATTACAAATGACATAAAAGTGTTCACACAGCAGCAGATTAGCTATGGGTAGACAAGAACTAGGCTTGGAGCGAACATCAGCCATCTTTGACATTCACAAGCTGCATATACTGGTGCCGGTACTATAGGCACCGTGCCATGTGAGTGCAAAATCGTTTGTTTTTGCTCATAATGTTTATTTAATTGCACTGGGGGAAGGGATGGAAATGAGGGAGGAGTCCTTGCAAGCACATGTTACAATCATACAGAAAGAAGGAAAAGATGGAACCCAATGTTCAAGTTATAGACCTATATCCCTAGTAACCACTTGCCTACAGGGCACTTATATACCCTTAATTACCAAGCCAATTTTCAGCTTTCAGCGCTGTCGCACTTTGAATGACAATTTCGCGGTCATGCAATATTGTACTCATATGAAATTTTTTATCTTTTTTTCTCACAAATAGAGCTTTCTTTTGGTGGTATTTACTCACCGCTGGGTGTTTTATTTTTTTGTGCTAGAAACAAAAAAAGAGCAAAATATTTGAAAAAAAAAAGTTTCTTTGTTTCTATTATAAAATTTTGCATACAGGTAATTTTTCTCCTTCACTGATCTGTGTTGATGAGGCTGCAATGATAGGCAGCACTGATGGGCACTGATAAGCAGCACTGATGGGCACTGATAGGCAACACTGATGGGCAACAATAGGCAGCATTGATGGGCACTGATAAGCGCCACTAATTGGCACTGATAGGCAGCACTAATGAGGTGGCATGGGTAGGCGGAACTGATGAGCTGGCACTGATGATGGGTACTGATAGTCGGCACTGACTGGCAGCACTGCTGGGCACTGACTGGCACAACTGCTGGGCTCTGACTGGCTGCACTGCTGGGCGGCACTGACTGGCAGCACTGCTGGGCTGCACTGATGAGCACTGGTGGGTGGCACTGGATGGGCACAGGTGGATGGCACTGTTGGGCACAGGTGGGTGGAAATGGTGGGTGGCACTGCTGGGCACCGATCATCAGGGCACCGATCCCTGCTCTGACAACTACCAGTTCTCGGCAGTACTTTTGTCATGCTCTGACAGCGTGAGGAAAGTGCAGCCGAGAACCGGCAATTGCATTTCCCGGTGATCAGCGTGTCATTGGACATGGCTGATCACATGGTAAAAGGCCGCAGGCAACTAGTTAAATAGCATTCAGAGGGGAACAGCACTTATAACAATGCTTAAACTGCTGTGTCCTTATCAGCCACTGATATCACCCAACCCATTCTCTCACATGGCCTTGAAACCCTGGCCAAGTAAGCAAATGGATGGGGAATAAAGTCTTGCATCATTGCTTACGTATGGCCATATAGCCATAATTGCACAATAACATAACTCAAGTAAGGCAATGGCAATGATGTCAGCACTATCCCCCACCCCTTCCTTTATACAACTGATAACAGCTCAAGGAGCTGTCACTGGACTAGTGTTACCATTGGGGACTGGTCATGTGTGGGGGATTACCAGGTTTTTTAGGGGTTTTTTTGGCAGCAGCAACGGTCATTGTGATTGATGATGGATTTACAATGAGGACTTTTTTTAATTCTCTATTTATTTTTTTAATATAAAGGACTTGTCTAACATGTGGGTGTTTTTATTTCTAGATGACTTTTTTTGTGAATGAGTAGGGGCACTATTTACCCTATATTCATTCACATGGGGGGGGGGGGCAGTATCCGTAGGTGGCCACTATTGACCGGGTCTTTGGGACGGTACAGGGTCTATCCACCAGAGAGAGGCTTGGTCCACACTCTCCCCTGGCCATTCCTCTTCCTGAGTCTGACTCTATGTGTAGGCATAATGTGTGACATCATGACACCGCGTGCCTTGCGGGCGGGGAGGGCTGACAAGACCTGTGCATTGGTCCAGTCCAGTTCTCTTTATTTCTGCTCTAAGCTCATTGGAGCTTTTCCAAGCCCCCCTGTGAATATATTTTACACTGGCTGAAAGGCTCATAATTTGCTTGTGCAGCCATGATGATCATTCCTTATTGAAAACTGTGTAAGCTTGATACAAATTTTGTTGGACAACCTCAGTAATGTTTAGGGGCACATTGGTTGTTTTATGTGCTGACTGCTGTTTAAATACTTTTGTCATTTTTTTTCATTCATTGTAGGCATATAGTCCTGAAGTGACATCTCTTCCCATATTTTGGGTGTATTTGAAGCCAAGCTACCATCGTTTCCCTGTAGTATTTCTTGTCATCTTTTTGCACCCCTAGTAAGTGTGTCTAGCTCCAATTTTGGCAATTTTCCACCTTTGGCTATCATCATTACTGATTATGCTATTATTTATCTATACAGGACCATCTCATCAGCATTAGTGAACAGACAGTCCCCTGGTCTGCCACTGATGTGGTTGGGCGGAACCCCTCCAGGAGGCATTTGGCCGGCAATTGTCTTCTCCTACTTTCCCTCCCTTTGTCTCTTGTCCATCTTCGCTGTTAGAGGCACATGAAGAATATCTGGCTGTATTCATGGAAAATAATTTCTTTTAATCTTTTGGCAGTTTTCCTTATCTTTCTTACCCCTATACAGGGCTATGTAAGTGTATAATTATACTTTTAGCCAATTATATTATCAATATTGATGGAAATGTCCATGTAAAAAATATATATTGATATGTATGTTTCTTGCAGGCATCATGCCTTTTTGAGCACTTCTGAAGAAGAGATTGTGATTGGTCTTGAAACATGTCAAGTGCAATTCATGTATGACTTATCTCTACATCTTCACCGGAATAAAATTTTTGACGATACCGCCACACTTTGTATTGTAACTTACATGTCTGTTTTAAGATTGTAAAAATAAAAATCATATATTTTTTTAAACTGTTAAATTGTCAAGTTTACCATTCGATAGAATTGTGCCGTTAAAGTCCCACCAATAAGAGGACCTTTCCACTGTTTTATTAAAGGGGGCTTCCAGATTTAAATAAGCCTGGATAAAGCAAGTGAAGGTTGTGGGGGTGAAGCCCTTGTCTTCTTTCATGGGTCCAATGGCCCCACTAGAAAGGTCCCCCCCCCACCCAAGTTGAGGAAATGTGGCCTGCTATGGTTCAGGAGGGGGGCTCTACACTCGCCCCTTTTTTTCTTTGCCAGCTAAGTTGAATGCTTGGATTCAGGGTTTTGACATGGATTTTTAGAGGGTCCTTGTGCATTTTTTGTTTGTTTTTTTGCTTGGCAACCCCCTCAAAATCCAGTCTGGTATGAATTTCCTGGGGGTCCTCATGTATTTTTTTTTTTGCATGAGGTACCGTATTTTTAGCTCCATAGGACGCATCTGACCATAAAACACACCTAGGTTTTAGAGGCAGAAAACAAGATAAAAAATATTCTGAACCAATGGACTGCAGACATAGTACAGGAGATGACCAGAGACTGCAGACATAGTACAGGAGATGACCAGAGACTGCAGACATAGTACAGGAGATGACCAGAGACTGCAGACATAGTACAGGAGATGACCAGAGACTGCAGACACAGTACAGGAGATGACCAGAGACTGCAGACACAGTACAAGTGATGACCAGAGACTGCGGACACAGTACAGGAGATGACCAGAGACTGCAGACACAGTACAGGGGATGACCAGAGACTGCGGACACAGTACAGGGGATGACCAGAGACTGCGGACACAGTACAGGAGATGACCAGAGACTGCGGACAGTACAGGAGATGACTGCTGACCTTTGGGGAGGGAGGGGGAGCGGGTACCTGAATTTGACAGGTACTCGCTCCCACTTCCGCGGAGTTGTTCTCCATTTAGTGTGGGCACCTGGCTGACAGCTGGGTGCCCAATGTGCATGCACGAGAAGCGCTGCACTTTGTGATTGGTCCGCCATCTTCTGGGACCTGTCATGTGTCCCAGAAGACGCCGTACCATTCACAAAGTGCAGCGCTACTCGCGCATGCGCACTGGGCACCTGGCTGTTAAGCCGAGAGCCCACACTAAAGAAGCTGGCGCGGGAAGACTGTGCAGTGATGGACTGAGGAGCAGGTAAGGTCCTGCTGCAGAGCTGAGCAGCCGGCCCGGTATTCTGACACGGCGGCAGTGGAAATACTGGACCGGTAGCTCCATATTCGCTCCATAAGATGCACTGACATTTCCCCCCCTTTTTTTGGGGGAAAAAAGTGCAACTTATGGAGCGAAAAATATGGTACTTTTTTGCATGAGGTGCATTTGGGGGGACGCCTGTAATTTTTTAAATTTTCACTGTAGGATGTGCTACAGCAAAAATGACACTTACAAAGAAAAAAGAATACAATTTAAACTGCCATCAAAGAAAACCTCATTTCTGTCTTTTTCACTGCTTCCAGCTGCATGGAATTTTTTATTTTATTTATTTAGTATATTAGTTTATGTTCCACAGGGTTGTTCCCATCTTTGACACCCCCTTGCTTATTAGCCCAAAAAATGGGCATTTTTAATTTGACAGATTCAGCTCCTATTAATTTCAGTAGAGTTGGGTTCGGCATCTGAACTGCTTTGAAGTTCAGCAAATATCTGCCTAACTGAGCCCAGTGCAGTCAGCTCATCATTATCATTAGGGTTGTCATCATAATGTAGCGCTACCCCAAAATTGGCTGCTTGATAATGCTTGTCCCCAATTGTTACCCTGACCTTGCAAGCCTCCCAACACCGCTGGCACTCTGGGTTAAGACATTTTTCAACAATGCTAAATATTAATACAAGAGACACAATTCTTTAGAAGCACCACTACACCGTGTTCCAAATTATTATGCAAATTCTATTTAAGTGTCACAAAGATTAAATATTTTGTTTTTCAGTTTAAGTCATGGATGGCATTGTGTCTCAGGGCTCTTTTGATCACTGAAAACAATCTCGGACACCTGTGATAATTAGATTGGCCGGTGAGCCCAATTTAAGGAAAAACTACTAAAGGACAGTGTTCCACATTATTAAGCAGAGCACCATTTTCAAGCAATATGTGGAAGAAAAAGGATCTCTCTGCTGCCGAAAAGAGTGAAATAGTTCAATGCCTTGGATGAGGTATGAAAACATTAGATATTTCACAAAAACTTAAGCGTGATCATCGCACTATTAAGAGATTTGTGGCTGATTCAGAGCACAGACGAGTTTGTGCAGATAAAGGCATATTGAGGAAGATTTCTGCCAGATCCACACATTGGATAAAGAGAGCAGCTGCTAAAATACCATTACACATCAGCAAACAGATATTTGAAGCTGCTGGTGCCCCTGGAGTCCCACGGACATCAAGGTGTAGAGTCTTGCAACTGTGCATAAACCTTCTATTCGGCCACCAATAACCAATGCTCACAAGCAGAAACGGCTGCATTGGGCAGAAAAATACATGAAGACTAATTTTCAAACAGTCCTGTTCACTGATGAGCAACCCTGGATGGTGCAGATGGATAGAGTAGTGGATGGTTGGTGGACGGCCACCCTGTTCCAACAAGGCTGCAACGTCAGCAAGGCGGTGGTGGAGTCATTTTTTGGGCCAGAATCATGGGAACAGAGCTGGTCAGCCCCTTTACGGGCCCCGAAGGTGTAAAGATGACCTCTGCAAAGTATGTGGAGTTTATGACTGACCACTTTCTTCCCTGGTACAGAAGGAAGAACTATGCTTTCCGTAATAAAATCATCTTCATGCATGACAATGCACCATCTCATGCTGCAAACAATACCTCTGCATCAATGGCTGTTATGGGGATAAAAGAAGAGAAAGTCATGGTGTGGCCTCCATCATCCCCTGACCTCAATCCTATTGAGAACCTTTGAAGCATCCTCAAGCAAAAGATCTATGAGGGTGGGAGGTAGTTTACATCCAAACAGCAGCTCTGGGAGGCTAAGCAGAAACTGTCCAAAAATTCACAAGTTCAATGGATGCAAAACTTGTGAAGCTGCTATCAAATAAGGGGCCCTATGTTAAAATGTAACGTGACCTGTTAAAATGTTTAAAAAGTTAAAATGTTGTTAAAAGTTTGATTTAAATAGCTTTTAATTTCAGTAAATATGCTGCAAACACAACAAATGACAATTTTCAGTTCTTTACAACCTATAAAGTGTTTTGAAACTTACTGTGCGTAATAATTTGGAACAGTGCATTGTAAGTATTTTATGTTTAAAAAAAATACTGATATCATTAGGAGGTTTGTTCAATAAAATTTGAATTGTACTCTTAATAGTTGATAACATGAGAATTATGCTGACTGTTATTTACATCAATTATTTAGGTAAATGAGAAAAATATCATTTGCATAATAATTTGGAACACGGTGTATATTAGGCTCGTCCAAAAGAACAGACCACAGAATTAAGGTTTTGGAGATACATCCCCAGTTAACACATAAAAGCAAAATAATGATAAAATGGAAATAAGCAAATAGCAATGGTTTTCAGATTATTCGGTCACAACTAAATAACCAAGTAACTGCAACACCAACAGCAGGAGGGGGAAGAAAAGGCTTAGTGACTCATCAGCTCCCCCTGGGCCTCTGGTCATTGGGAATGCAAAGAATTATATATATATATATATATATATATATATATATATATATATTTATTTATATACATATACTGCTCAAAAAAATTAAAGGAACTCTTTGAAAGTACATCAGATTTCAATGGGGAAAAATATCATGTTGGATATCTATACTGATATGGACTGGGTAATGTGTTAGGAATGTAAGGATGCCCCATCGTTTGATGGAAATTAAAATTATCAATCTACAGAGGACTGAATTAAAAGATACACGAAAATCAAAGTGAAAAAATTGTGCAGCAGGCTTGCCCATTTTGCTGAAATTTCCTTGCAGCATCTCAAAATGGTACTCATTTGTGTATATGGCCCCCACGTGCTTGTATGCATGCCTGACAACACCGTGGCATGCTCCTAATGAGATGATGGATGGTGTCATGAAGTATTTCCTCCCAGATCTGCATCAAGGCACAAAGGAGCAGATACCAATCCTGCTCATGGATGAAGGACCTTCTATGGCCCTGTCCAGCTCTGCTAGAGTAACTGCGTGTCTCCTGGAATCTCCTCCATGCTCTTGAAACGGTGCTGGGAGACACAGCAAACCTATTGGTGATGGCATGTATTGATGTGCCATCCTGGAGGAGTTGGACTGCCTGTACAAGCTCTGTAGGGTCCATGTATTGCCTCATGCTACCATTAGTGACACTGACCCTAGCCAAATGCAAAACTAGTGAAAAACAGAAAAGATGGGTAGGGAAAAAAATGTCAGTGGCCTCCAGCTGTAAAACCATTCTGGCATAAATGGGTATAGACATCCTCATTTGAATAACAATGGCTTAGATGTGACGAGGTCCCTTTAACTAGAAATAATAACTTGAGTCCTGAGATGTTTAAAGTTCCTGATGTGATAGTAGCTGTTGTCTTCTGCTAGCAATGGTGAGACCCATATATAATAGTGAATAATTGTAGTTCACTGAAGATAACAGAAAGGTTGTGGAAAATGCTCAAAGCAAATATCTCTTGGTACTGAGGTGTAAAGGAGACTGCATGCAGTTTCTCCAGAACACTGTCAGAAAGAGGTTGGGCATCCACTCGTTCACCAATCCTATGGATAGCACGGCCTCCTAGCAACAGGGTTTATGTACAGGCTCTTGGCTGTTCTCAGAGAAGTGCATGTCAGCATGGCAAGCAGAGATGACTGGCTGAAAACTGGATAATGATCCCGATGAAGAGAAGCTGATGCAATCCCAGTGTGGTGATTGGCATCATCTCTAGGCTGATCTGGTATGCAGAGTCCCACAGTAGTAGCCAGAAATCTGTCTCCGGAGGAGAATGGCAGTCCCCAGTATTCAGTTCTGAATCCTGAACCAAGGAACCATCCAGTTCTTTGCTTTTGAATATATTTTCTCTCCCAGCAACCTTGTGGTTCCCCAGCTCTCTGATATTTGTAGTTCAATCTGCATTTAGAAATACAGTATGTATTGGCCATAAGACCCAGGTCCCACAATCCTCTGCTGTCAGAAGAACTCGATCCACTCTGCTCACAGGAAGTAATGTTGCTGTTCCAGTACAGGGTACTAGGGGGAAACTGGATTAACCAAGTCTCATCTGTAAATGTCTCTAATTGGCAAAATTATATAGCAAGCACCTCTCTACAATTATTTTTGAATATGTCCTTTTATATTTGGATTATCCCATAAAAAATGTAGGTTTTTACTAACAACTGAATCATTGAATAGCCGTCCTTGCACGCTGGAAGTGTCCTTTTTTGTTCAATAGTATGTAGCTATCATTAGCGATAGTCATGCTAAACATCTACAAAATAACCCCAATACACCCAGCCTTATTTATTACAATTAAAATCTTCACAATTTAGTGGCTTTTGTGACACTAAATGCCACTTTAGCAATAATTTGCTAAAGTTTAATTAACTAGGCAGAGAAAATGGAGGACACTAGTCGTACCTAATGATTGGCTATGAAACACTGGAAGATGTCAGGATACAAGCAAGTCTAATTGTTTGTATCAAAAGGCTTTTGTGTACTTTAACTGCTTCTCTCCTCATATAAGTTTATGCAACTGAAAAGCAGCTCAAAGCAGGTCAAATGCAGGTCATATGGACCTGCAAACAAAATCTGAATAAGCTCAGAATCATCTTCAACAGATGTTTAAAAGCATGCTAACTTTTCCCCTTCAAAGTCCCTAGACACTGGCCATTAATCTGACTGGCTCTTGTAAATGAATGAACTTTGCCCCTTATCTATTCAACAGCCAACATATTCAATTGACTTTTTAATGTTCAACCTTATCAAGGAAAGGGTTAACATGAAAAACAAAATGATATGCTATTGCAAGGAGAACAATACATACCATCCTGCTGTGCTCTAATTTACTGAAGATCCCACTACTAGTATCGGGGGTCATATGACAGTTAT